TAAAAGGTCTTTGACCAAAAGGATTACAGATTGAGCACCACTGCACTATCCTCTTCACCTTCTTTGATTTGGCCCAATGATAGAGTTGGGATTTTGGGGTCGAAGTGGGTCTATTAAGGATGAGTTGGTGTTGATTGTGATGGGAGGGGTGAATTGTATGTAGTGCAAAGATCATAATATAAGGTATTTTTTCTCGTGAGATATTAACATTCATGTTGGGACTTTTCCATGGATGATTCGATTATTTAGAGAAATTTCTAGATGGTATTGTTTTCCTGAGAGTTTGACATATGTAAATACATTGACGTGACAAATAATAGTACGTAGATATGACAAATCATTACTTCTTGAGATAAGTTATTTATGATGTTTAAAGTTTAAATATTAAAAATATTATGAACAATAAAAGATACAAAAGAATAATTATTTAAAAAAAAAAAAGAAATCTTTCTCTTCCAATTTTGTTTCTTTTTTGATCATGGTAATTTCATATTTTTTACTTTCACTTTCTTTCTTTATTCTTTTTCTTTCATTTTCCATCATTTAAGCATCCTATGATTGGAATAAACTAGAAGTATTTCTTCAGGATGCATAATTTATCAAAGTAGAACAAATTAAGAATTTTTGCAATGCTCGTATAAAAATGTTTTAAAGTATCAATCAATCAATCACAAATTGTCATAGATGATAGGTTTTCTTTTTGTCTTGCACAACACTACTTTTAAAGTGAAATTAAAAATGAATTTTCTCTTCAACACCTGCCAATTAAAAGTAACAAAAGGAAAAATCTAGTGAAGATCACCATATAGAATTGTGAAAAAAATTGAATCAAAGCAAAATTGAAATAACTAAACCATTTTCAATGATTTATAAACCAAATTAAACTAGTTGTTGTTGAAATTTAGATATGGAGTGTTATTTCTTCTGACCAATTTGGCACACTTCATGTAACATGCAATTGTTCAATTAAAAATTTAATTTTTGTTAATAGAACAACCCCGAAAGGGTATTTTATTCCTAATTCCTTATGTGAGAAATTCTAAATCTTCTAATGAAAGTCTCAATTACTTTGGAAAGTTAATCATGTGATTCTCATTAACTATTCTACAATTTTGATGTTGGTTTATAATCTTTACATATTCCTAGTTGATAGTGTATGACTAATACATCTCTTAATACATTACTTTGAACTTATTTGACATTTATAAGTGTCTTAATTAGATGAAATGGTTGACATTTATTTTAGTGGATTATTTGTGTTCCAATTCTAAATTCTAGTTTATTTTCATAATTTTTGCTCACTTTGACATGCTACTATGTGTAGACCATATCTTGAGCTCCCTAACTTGGAATCAGCTAAGATAGAGCTGAACAATGTCTCCACTGTTAGTTTCACCCAATTTGAACATATCAGGGTGCAAAAATGTTCCAGAACATTACGCTTTTGAACTTCATTTTCGATTTACTTTAAAAACTTATGATATTAGTAGTCTAACCTTGTTATGTACACTTCATCTCATTTTTTAGATTATAGAGTTGCTTCCTTTACAAGTTTTTCTAAAATTCTCTCTCTTTCTCTCATATTTTCCCTCTACATTTTCTATACGAATGAATTGCAACAGCTTAATGGAGATGCATGGCTAGTCCACTTAATCAATTCAAGATTACATGAATTGCAGTAAAATTTGAGTTCTCAATCTATTTTAAATATGCAAATTATCTTTGCCTTCTTCTCTGTTCAAAACTTAATTTTTTTTTCATGATTATGAATTTCATTTCAATTAAATCAAGAATTTAGATTAAAGTTTATTTTTGGATCTAGATCTTGCTTTAGACCTAGATATAAAATAACCTAACTTACCTAAATCAATCGTTAACCGTTCTTGAATTTCCCAGCAATTGTGAGATTGGGATTGCGTTTCAAATTTTTATGAAATTCAATAGATATAGATTTAGATTTGAATTCTAAATACATTTGTGTTGATTTAAGATTGAATTCGGATTATATTTTGAATTGTAAATATTCTATCGCATGGATTTAAATCTTGCATCGATGCAATTTTTGACTGAAATTTCTAATAATTTTTTGTTTGGGTTCTTAATTTTCAATTACTATTTAACCATCATAAAATCCCCATTTTAACATTACATGATAAATTTGGATTTATTGTCTTGTGTCTTCAAGAAGAATGACCTAGATTGTTTCTTATATTATAATTTTTTGGAAAAATCTAGTAATTTTTGATAATGACTCAACAACACTTTCACTAGAAATATATGTGTTTTAGATTTTGTTTCCTAATAGAGTTATTAGAAACACTTTCCAACAAAATTTAATTCACTAGCATAATATTATGATTAGCTAACCCCAAAATAAATGCTAAGACAAAGAAGATAAATTATCTGGAAAAAAAAGTATTTGTTAAATAATGGGAAATATTACAAGGATTCAAGTCAGTAGCGTCAATTTAGAATAAGGCTCATTAGTAATCAATGGCTAATCTAAACACAAGAAGTTTAGAGAAAAATTCTTTAAAGTGTCTGTAGTGAAGGCTTTTGCATCGTTCTTTCTCTCCAAAGAAACCTTATTTCCTTTCTCCAAGGGAGTAATGTGTACATTTCTAATTTTGAGCATTTTATACATCCTTGAAGGTGGAGTCAATATGGCTCCATTAAGCAAGCCTTTGCAAAACTTCCTTGGAGTTCTCTATCACCTCTCGCTTAAAGAAAATGGCTCCCTTAAGCTTACCCATTCTACGAGACTTCTCCATAAAACGTTCCCAATCATTGATTAAGCATCTAAATAACTCCCTTATGTTATGAGGCATGAATTATCATAGAAGAAAAAATTAATAACTTATGCAATGTCTATGCAAAAATGTTTGAGTGTCAATCAATTACAAACGACCATAAATGATAAGTTTTCTTTCTGTCTTGAATAATACTACTTCAAAAGTCAAATTAAAAAGAAATTTTCTCTTCCAACACCTTCCAATTAAACATAAGAAAAGGAAAATACAAGTAAAGATCAACATATAGAATTGTGTAACAAAAAAAAAAAACCAAATTAAAGCAAAATTTAAATAATTAAACCATTTTCAATGATTTATAAACCAAATTATTTTAATTTAAATATGGTGTGCCATTTCTTCTAACCAGTTTAGCACATTTCACATAACATCCAATTGTTCAATTAAAATTTTTATTTGGGCTAACAAAATAATCTGTAAAGTGTATTTTAACCCTAATTCCGTAGGTGAGAAATTACAAATCTTCTAATTCAACTCTTAATTCCTTTCTAAATTTAATTAAGTGATTCTCATTAAGTTTTTTTGACTATAATGTTGGGTTAGATATTCAATACAAAATTTGTTTTGGTGGTTCCATTCTAGATAGAGGTATTAGAAACACTTTCCAACAATACATAATTCCAAAGGATTAATATTATTTTTGGCCAACCCCAAAATAAATGTTAAAATAAAGAATAAGATCAATTAATTGAAGAAAAGTATTTATTAATCTAGGGGGAATATTACTAGGATTCAAATCAGCAATGACTATTTCAAATAAGGGTCAAATAACAATTAATGGCTAATTTAAACACAAGAAATTTACAAAATAATTCTTTAAAAAGTCAATAGTGAAGGTTTATACATTGTTTTTTCTCTCCAAAGAAACCTAATTTCCTCTCTCTATGTGAATAAGGTGTAAATTTATCGTTTTGGGCTCTTCATACATCCTTGAAAGTGGGCTAATCGAGCTTGATCAAATGTAGTAGAAGATGGCTCGCATAAGCAAGTCTTTGTGAAATTTCCTTGGAGTTATCTATCATCACTCGCTTAAAGAAAATAGCCCCCTAAAGTGTGCCGCTTCTAGGAGACTTCTCCTGAAAACATTCCTTGGCCTTGGTTAAGCCTATAAATGGGTTGCTTGTGCAAGTCTCCTAAGAAAAATTATCTCACTATTTCTTCAATTTTACTTGATTCTTGTATCCTTCTTTATACTTTCCTATACTTTCGGTGAGTAAAACACGAAAACATCAAAGATATCTAGCAAAAACAATTTAATATGTATAAAATGATTTTTTTATTTCAATTAATAATTTTCCTAAACATGACTCAAAATTATAAGACATGCACAATGATCCAATATATTTCAAAATTATATTTTTACATTTACCAATTGTCTTGAGTTAAACTAATTGGCATGCTCTAAAAGTTTTTTTTGACATATGTAAAGAAAATAAATATAAATATAAATCATAATGAAAAAAAATTCATACGATCCTTTCAATGACATCCTCATTACCATTGAGTTTTTTCAGTCTATTGTCCTTTTGGTCAAGAATCTGATTTAACCTTAGTAGCCTTAAGAACTCTAGTAATGCATAATTTGTTTGTTCATATTGGCAATGGTTGAGTCAGAGGTCTTGACGAAAAGGATTATAGACTGAGCACCACTGCATTATCCTGTTCACCTTCTTCAATTTGGCGCAACGAAGATTTGGCATTTTGGGGTCGTAGTGGCTCTTTTCAGGATGAGTTGGTGTTGACTGTGTTGGGAGGGGTGAATTGTGTGTAGCACAAAGACCATAATATAAGGTATTTTTTCCGAAGATGTTAACATTCAAGTTGGAACTTTTCCGTGGACGATTTGATTTTTTGGAGAAATTCTATGGGTAAGATGTGATAGATGGTATTGTTTTCCTAAGATATTGACATATGTAAATAGATTGACGTGACAAATAATAGTACGACACTACAAAAAATTATGTAATTAGTGGGGGGTTTTTTCTGGCGGTTTCAAAAAACCGCCAAAAAATATTATATTTCTGGCGATTATTTTAACCGCCACAAAATAATGATATTTTCAGCGGTTTTAAACCGCCACAATCTTTAAATACCTGGTCAACCTTTCCATATCACACGTGGCAACCATTTTTCTATCAAAAATCAAAAACTTCTATAATTTAATCTGAGCATTTCCCATTCCCATTTTTAATCAAAAACACTATTCTATTACTCTTTTTCTCTCCACTTTTTAGGCTTCACTCATTCATTCTCTATTTTTTGCGAGTCAAAGAAGTTGCTCCTAATGCGAGACGAAGAAACGCCAAACTCTCATTCTCTTTTGTCTTCCCCGACAAATTTCAAAGTCCAAGAGGTAATGTAATTCTTCTCTCTACTCAGCGTTCAATTATAGTTTCCTCGTGATTATGGAAAATTGCAGAGAAATGTGACTTCTACGGCTACAATTGTGGTGGCGAAGGCATAACTTCAAAAAAAGTTGGAACCCTAAAAATTTCTTGAATGTTCGAGAAGGTAGATTTGGAAGGGAAAACCAACCACGATTTGGAAGGGAACAGAGGCGGTGCAGTACAATTCAGCGATGGAGATTACCGCGGTGGCGGAGAAAGACGCGGAGTTGAGGAAATCGGCGTTCAAGCCAAACTCACCCGCTTGCAAGGTCGTTGTGGATCAAGTGGTGAAGATAATCGAGAAAGCGGATTCGAAGCTTCTGGTTCCCTGCATAAAGACGATTGGGAATTTGGCCAGAACATTCAAGGCGACGAAGAGTCGGATGATTGTTTCCTTTCTAATACTTTGTGCTCCATTTAACTGTGTGCTAGTTTTGTTTCATTTCCCATGAGATTTCATTATAGTATATTTTGTGGCTTGAGTTTCTTATTACCTATGTACCAAAGTCCAATGTAAAGGGCTCCTACTACTATTTTTAAATTTTAGAGAACAAATACTTATTATCTGTGTGGCAGCACATAATTTGGATTTGACCATATATATATGTGCACAGGAATGGACCATTCTGGATTTGCACTACCTTAATATTTGTAGCAGCATCCATTGGCACATTTGTGACATATTTATCGTACAAACTGAAGCATAAGGAATGGAACTATGACATAAATCTGGTGACATGGTCCGCTGGCTTGTTTTATGGTTATGTCAACATTGTTCCTCTTGGTTTGTATTTAATCCTTAAGTACATCTCTGTACCATCTGGCCTTGTCCAACTACTCTGCCTCTATGGATATTCCCTATTTGTCTTTATTCCGACTCTGGTGAGTTACTGCTCTTCAAATTTTCTTTCAAGAAATTATTAGGTTATCTTGAACTATATGATCTTTAAATATTCTCTATATAATATGTAATCAAGTGTAATTATTATTTCCTTGTAAATTGTATGATGAAGTTAATGATTTTACAGGCTTAACATCAATATGCATGATAAATAAATTACATCACAAGTGTCTCAATACTAACCAATAGCTATAACAAGGTTGACCAGTGAAGTTTTCCATATATTAAGGTATTGCTTAAAAAACATATAAAACACTAGATACATAGCACCCCATTATCAAATACTTAAGTGTAAGTTGGCATTGTTAGTATGGATTTTGTTGATTAACAAGCAGTTCCTATATTTTTTATTTTTATCAAGTTTTCTGATATTTTGCACACAAAACATGTACACTTTCGTCGTAGTGTGATGGTAAGAAAGGGAAGAATTGAGAGCCACATTTGAGAAGATGTCAAATTGCAATTTTTGTTATGGGTGGGTTGTGAGCATCTTTAAATCAATATAGATCAATGTAAAACACGATAAAATGATATTTTACTCCCTGAAGAAACGTGAAACACATTTAGAGAGGTTGTGGGTATCTTCAATCAGTATTATCTTTTTTTGTGCAAGTATTCAATTATAATAGAGTTGTTGTTGAGTCTACTTAATTGGCAATTCTTGTTGATAAACCGGTGTTCCCTTCCAAGTCACATAATAAGGGAAGTGGAAAAGAGACAAAACTTTTCTCAAGTTCATTTATCTTGGAAAATATACCAGCATGTAAGATCATTAGATATTGTAGCATGCCAGTAAGTAACATTTCCTGAAGTGTAATGTTGTTGTGTTGGTTCTTTGAAATGTTAAAGACAAAACTATAAGTAAACTAATAGTTGACTTTTAAGAAGACTGTTGACTTTTATTAATTGTTGATTATTTATATTTAAATTTGAGTATGTTTATCATTTAAATAATGGAGTGGTTTTAATTAGTAGTCATTGAGGTCTCTGTTGTCTTTTTGCATACTATATATTAATTATCATAAAACAAGTCTCTAATCATTTAAATTGTTGACTCTCACAATCACTTTAAGAAAATAAATTAATTTATTTGTATGTCAATTTATCTATTTAATTCATGTATATCAATTTTTAATTAATTTTTGTGGGAAAAAATGCGCACATATATATAGAAGTGGTGAGTGAGTTAGTCCAAACCTAAATTCTAAGATGGTATGATAGTCTTGCACAGTAGTAGTTGTTGGGCCTATTGGGTCACCACATGTTCATATTGTTGTAATTTTACCAAGAGATTTTGTTTCTATTTTGGGGGTGATTTGTTTTGCAGGCTCAAGTTCATAGACATGCTCATAACTTTAGGGAAGTGCAGCAATGTACTCTTCTGTCTATCAAAATAGGAGGGTGCAGTGAAGATTGTTACATAATATGTTGGATATGTTTTAGAATTGATGGATTTAATGTCTTAATAATAAAAAATGTCATGCTAGACTTATGGCTAGATGTTGTCTTGATTTTTTTTATAATGTTAAAAGTTGTTAATTTAATGTATCATTACATAATTATATTTGAACAAGAAACATACAAAACACATAAATATTATTATAATTATGGTAGAATTTACTAAAATATAATATAGTCATTATTAATTTTTAATGATTAATATGGTTAGTGATAATTTTTAATAATAATTTGATAAATGCTTAAAATATATAGAATATTATTTGTCAATTTATAACAAAAATGTGCTTTTAAAATAATTCTAAATATATTTTAAAAATAAAAAATTACCGCAATGACAGTTTAAAATTGTCAGAAAATGTGAGACGATAAAAAATAATTTTTTGGCAACCTAAAACCGCCATAAAATGGAAACAAGTAAAAATAATAATAATTTTGCGGCGGTTTTAAAATCGTTAGAAACTTTGTATTGGACAGAATTAAAATGAATTTTGTAGCGGTTTCAAACCGCCAGAAAATGTCAAACAAGTCAGACAAAAATGCATTTTGTGGCGGTTTGAAATCGCCACAAAAAGATCCCCCCGCCACAAAAAGATTGAATTTTCTGGCGCTCAAAACCAGCGTTTACAAAATATCCGCCACAAACGGTTTTTGGCGACCGTAGATCTGGCGGTTATTTATGACGCCGGTAATGCGATTTGGCAGTTTTTAACCACCAGAAACTGCCATAATAACCGCCACAAATCACACATT